TAAGCAAACCAACCTCTGAAAAGGTCATTCAACCGTATGATTTCCTTTCAATAACTGAACTAATTACCATTTAAAGCATAATTAACTCTACCATACTTTGTTTATAGGTTCTTCAAGATTTTCCATCTGCCAGTGCAAACATCCCCTTCGAGTATTTGTTTGATCTAATTCCACCGATTCAGCCGCGAGCGTTTTCAATTGCTTCATCGCTGATGGTAGGTGTGCTCACAGCTCGCGTTGAATATTGACTATCATTATATATGGGCCCACAATTCGTGCAGCGGGCGATGTAGCTGATGCCCTTTGTTTGACTCTAGTGGCCCATCAGGCTCAGTACTCATCTTCGGTTTCCGTAGCATGACATGGCTAAGAGTATTTCAATTCCCCTCTGGGTGGAATGCTAGTCCATCGCAGGGTTACCCCCTGCACTAAATTCACCGGTACGCATTGGTACATCTGAGTGGAGAGAGGCACTGTGAGAGTAAAGTGTCTTGCCAGAGAATGCAACACATGACCCCAGGCTACGGCTCGAAGCGAGACCTCTCTATCTGTCTAAATACATTGACACATTAATAAAGCTTTTACTTACTTTTACTCTAAACATGTTGGTCAATATACCGTACTTAAAATCTCTACTTGCTGTAAAATGGTAAATTTTGAAAATGCCTTCTGTCTCAGAAACCTTAGAACTGATCTAGTAGTTTCCCAATCCGAGTCTGAGTTTAACTGAGCAGGGAACCTGTATTGACGATAACGCTTCCTCGGCAGGCTCACCCAGATGAAATTCAACTACTGGTGGCTGTTGTAAACTACAAAACTAAACTGTTCAAACCAAGAAGGGGGCTTTGTTCAACGTGGCTGGCCTCTCTGGACCCTTCAAACAAAGCTTTACGTATCCCTGTATGGGTCAAGAAAGGAACCATATCATTTCCCAAGGCTTTAGATTCACCCATTGTTATGATAGGTCCAGGTAGGCACACATCTCACACGATATCATATAAACGCCTTTTTTTGTTTCTCGTGCATTGGATTTATATCATAATGCATGCAAAGAAGCCAAAGCTTGTGTCACACTGCCTGAAGACTTTCTGGTGTATTCGAGAACAGTTGATCTAAAGGGCATTCCGAGTCTCTTTGTTCTCAAATTCTCATCGTGCTTTATGACAGTTTAATACATGGCTTTGGCTTCTTAGTTTGATCAATACACAGAATTTAATCTTTTAATTCCCTTGGGGGAAAACTTCTTTTAAACCTATCTCCTCCATCATACGTTCAAAACTTGGTCTCAGCTGCGTTCAAAATTAAAAAGTTGCTTGTCAAAACAGGACCAAACTTGGTCTACATTGCTTTTAAAATTAAAAGTTTCCTGTCAAACCAGGAACAAACGCTACCTGACTATCAAGAGAAGACACTTTTATTGTCTTTGAAATTTATAACGACTGAACACCAAAACTTATCGAGAAAGTCGGCGGAAAGCCCTACAGTGAGACTGACGAGACAACAAGAAAACAGAAAATCTACATTTTAGATCACTAGACAGACGACTGTGGCGAGAAAATACCTACATCCTTTGCCATCTTATTGGATTGAAGTTGTGTAAGACACTTAAGTATTAGGAAAAACGATAAGTTTGTAACTACCTTTGACTTATGGCAAGTGTTTTGAATAGCGGACAATGGAGTTGTGGAGCCGACTATACTTGTATAAATTTAAAGTACCTTTAGAATCTCTTGTTCAGCTGGCCTCCTTCGCAGACCTTTTTGGGCTCGGGTTTATTATCCAATTGTTTGAATCACCTAGAAAATCAAGCTGATGCATGGTGGTTTCCTCTAGGTACTGGTTGTGCGCCTTTTAGAAGTTTAATTGAAGAAAGAGTGTCGCAGTCTGCCGGGGGTAAGTTGTAGTTTGGGACAAGGGAAGAGATAGACATCAGTTGAATGTAACTTTGAAGCACGGACCACAGTTCACGGAGAACAAGTCTGGAGATGGGAAAAGGAATATCGAGAGAGCATTCGTTATGTTAAAGATTCATGGCTGCGGTACTCATAGGTGCGTGACAAAAAAGGA